AACTGGGCCGCAGGCTTCCTTTGGTCTCCCCCGAAGGTCTGAGCTTCCTCCTCTTATCTGTTTCTTTGTTCAATCTCTCCAATTCGTATTGAAGAGGGTTAGAGGATAGCTCAGCAAAGCTAGGTAAGCAACCAGGGAATAGAGTCCAGATAGACTCCAAGTGCCGGCTGATTGCTTCTTTCACTTTGCCATGCAAGTAATATCAAGGACAAAGGAAAAGACAGGGAAAGAGCATGATATGAGATACCTTTGCTTTCGCCCTTGATGATATGAGATACCTTTGCTTTCGAAGAGGCAGCGAATGAATCCACATGTTTCGATCCACCGTTTCCTTCTTCCTCATTTGTACTACAGGCATGTGGTATCTTCTTTGGGGGATACATCCATGTTTGAAAGTGTGTTCTCAAGAGAAGGAGAAATCTGAGCATGTTTGAGAGGGTTGGTTGCAGCTTACATTTTTCGGCCGAGAAGGAAAATTATACATTTGTGGGTGTATGCCTTGCCATGAAGGTTGATGTATATAGGAATTGTAATGGCAAATGGCAGTGTGGATGCGGCAATCTCCTCCACGCGTCTTCTGAAAAGCTGGGAGCTTTTGACAAAGTGGCACGCGCGTTCTGAAAAAGCCGGGAGCTTTTGACAAATTTGCACTCGCTTTCTGGAAAGCCGGGAGCTTTCGGCTTTGTCACCCACATTTGTCTGCTAAAGTGTGCAGCTGATTTCTCGCCTTCCACGCGTCTTCTGAAAAGCTGGGAGCTTTTGACAAATTTGCACACGCTTTCTGAAAAGCTTGGATTGCGTCTGAAGAGCTGGCGATCTTTACGCCAGAAAATCCGGTGTTGAAGAGCGGTGTCTCTTCAATGCTGAATTGGTGAACGCCTCTCCTTTAATAGAGGTGATCGATCACCTCTATCTGCACACTTTGAAGACTTCCCAAAAATCATCTTCGGCCCGTCTAGATTTTCCTCCATCCAACCCTTCTCTTTTAACTTCTTGAACAATGGCTAGCTCATCCAACCCATCGAACCTTTGTTTAGATTTGAGTCTAAGCAGTGATCCTGTCGCTCCTCGTCAGGGTAAGGTATGGTGCCCGTCTTTCTTATCTTCCCATGGCCCTCTTACAGAGGAGGACTCTGTGATGACGGATCCCACAACGGCTACGATAGTGGCTCGGAACCTCCTCACTCCCAAAGACAGTCAGCTGCTTTCAGGACGGTCCAATGAGTTTGCCGTTCAAGAGTCCCTGGCTCTTAGTGTTCAGTGCGCTGGCTCTGTGTCCAACATGGGCCAACGCCTTCTTGCTCGCTCTCGTCAGGTTGAATCCTTGATGGTGGAGGTGGAGAGTCTTAAGCAGGAGATCAGACAGCTTAAGCACGAGAATCGAAGTTTGCACGTGCTTGCCAACAATTATTCAACAGGCATGAAGAGGAAGCTTGATGAGATGCAAGAATCTCAAGGTCGGATGCAAAGTGACCGTCAACGGCTTGCGTCTTTCTTCCAGGGGCACCTTTTTCCTGGGTCATCCAGCGTTCCGCCAAGTATTGGGGCCTGGAATGCTCTATATCCTATGCCTCCCGCTTCGATGCCTCCCGCTCCAATGCCTTCTGCTCCGAGACCTCCTGCTCCGAGACCTCTTGCTCCGAGAGTGTTGCCACGTAGTGGGGCCTCACGTACACAACCTTTGTAAAGGCTCCATCTTTCTGCCATGTTTAGATACAATTGTAATTTATCGAAAAAAATCAATGAACAAGCAAAAGTTTTATTTACTGTATTGGGTTGCCTCCCAAGTAGCGCTTTCTTTTACGTCTTGCAGCCGGACGTTGCCACGGTGATCAACCTTCATGGAAACCCATGGCATAGTGGGTTGTCTCCTCAACATCATGTTCTACAAAGCCCTCGTAGTAAGGCTTCAATCTGTGCCCATTCACTTTGAACTCTTGACCTGTTTTGAAGCTACGAACTTGGACTGCACCATGAGGAAAAACGTTAGTAATAACAAAGGGTCCAATCCAACGTGAACGTAACTTACCCGGAAATAGACGAAGACGAGAATTAAACAACAACACTTTCTGTCCAACAGAGAAGGACTTGGTGCGAATCATCTTATCATGAAAGGCCTTCGTCTTTTCCTTGTAAAGGCGAGCATTCTCATAAGCTTCATTCCGTATCTCCTCAAGTTCATTCAATTGAAGCTTACGATGAATTCCCGCTGCATCCACATCCATGTTGAACTTCCTCACGGCCCAATAAGCCTTGTGCTCCAACTCCACAGGTAAGTGGCATGGCTTGCCATAAACAAGCCGAAAGGGGGACATTCCTATCAGTGTTTTGTAGGCGGTCCTATAAGCCCACAATGCATCTTCTAGCCTTAAGCTCCAATCTTTTCTTGTTGGACCCACTGTCTTCTCAAGAATCTGTTTTATCTCTCGATTCGACACCTCGGCTTGCCCGCTTGTTTGAGGATGATAGGGTGTGGACACCCTATGTGTAACGTTGTACTTCTTGAGCAAGGCCTCAATTGTACGATTACAGAAATGTGAGCCTCCATCACTTATAAGAATTCGAGGCATTCCGAACCTAGCAAAAATGTTAGACTTCACAAAATCTGCAACTACCTTGGAATCGTTAGTACGGGTGGCTTTTGCTTCCACCCATTTGGAAACATAATCCACCGTCAACAAGATATAGAGAAAACCATGTGATGAAGGAAAAGGACCCATAAAATCAATGCCCCACACATCAAATATTTCAACAGAAAGTATAGGGGTTTGTGGCATTTGATCCTTAGCACTTATATTACCCATTCTTTGACACCGATCACATGTAAGGCAAAATGTCCTAGCATCCCTAAAGATGGTTGGCCAATAAAACCCACATTCTAAGACTTTAAGGGCAGTGCGTTGGGTGCCAAAATGTCCCCCACATGCATATGAATGACAAAATGTTAAAATAGATTGAAACTCAGATTCATTCACACAACGTCGGACAATCTGAACGGGACAAAATTTCCAAAGGTATGGGTCATCCCAAACATAAAACCTAGCATCCTTTCTAAGCGTATCACATTGATTCCTATTAAGTGTGCTAGGGGTATGTTTAGACACCAAAAAGTTCACCAAATCTGCGTACCAAGGCTCACTTACCTGGATAGACATTAATTGTTCATCGGGAAAGGTTTCAGAAATTGGCATTGCTTCCTCATGTACCATTCGGCTTAGGTGGTCAGCCACCACATTCTCCACGCCCTTCTTATCCCGAATCTCAATGTCAAACTCTTGTAGAAGCAACATCCATCGAATCAATCTAGGCTTGGCCTCCTTTTTCGTGAGCAAATATTTGAGAGCTGCATGATCAGTAAAAATAACAACTTTAGTACCAAGTAAGTAAGATCGGAACTTATCTAATGCAAAAACCACAGCAAGTAATTCTTTCTCAGTGGTTGAATAATTTAATTGAGCATCATTTAGTGTCCTAGAAGCATAATAGATAACGTGGGGTTGCTTGTTCTTTCGCTGTCCCAAAACAGCACCAATGGCATAGTCCGACGCATCACACATTAACTCGAATGGAAGGCTCTAATCTGGAGGTGTGATAATAGGAGCCGAAGTGAGAGCTTCCTTCAAGTGCTTGAATGCCGTGGAGCATGCTTCATCAAACTCGAAAACCACCTCTTTTTGAAGCAACCGGCATAGTGGCTGTGCAATCTTGGAGAAATCCTTAATGAAACGCCTATAAAAACCTGCGTGGCCAAGAAACGAACGGACATCTCTAACCGAAGTTGGAGAGGGTAAGTGGCGAACAAGGTCTACCTTAGATTTATCTACTTCAATGCCTTTTTCAGAAATGATATGGCCTAGAACAATACCTTGCTTAACCATGAAGTGGCATTTTTCCCAATTAAGTACAAGATTCGTTTCAACACAACGTTTCAAGATTAAAGTCAGATTATTCAAGCAATGATCAAATGAATTGCCAAACACGCTAAAATCATCCATGAATATCTCAATAATCTTCTCCACATAATCAGAGAATATACTCACCATGCATCGTTGAAACGTCGCCGGAGCATTGCACAAGCCAAATGGCATGCGTCTATATGCAAAAGTGCCAAAGGGGCACGTAAATGTTGTCTTCTCTTGGTCCTCCGGAGCGATCACAATCTGGTTATATCCGGAATATCGATCAAGAAAGCAGTAAAATTCATAACCGGCTAACCTTTCCAACATTTGGTCGAGGAATGGTAATGGAAAGTGATCCTTCCTTGTCATGGCATTTAACTTCCTGTAATCAATGCAAACACGCCAACCAGTCACAACACGAGTGGGGACAAGCTCTTGTTCTTCATTCTTCACCACTGTGACGCCAGACTTCTTTGGAACAACCTGCACAGGTGACACCCAACGACTATCAGAAATAGGATATATAACACCACAATCAAGTAATTTTATAACCTCCTTTTTCACTACTTCCAACATAGGTGGATTAAGGCGACGTTGAGCTTCACGAGATGGCTTGGCTTCCTCCTCCAAAAGGATGCGATGCATGCACGTGGTGGGACTAATGCCTTTGATATCCGCCAAAGTCCATCCAATGGCAGATTTATGCTCTTTTAACACCCTTATCAACTTGTCTTCTTCTTGAGCTGTGAGTAAGCTTGAAATGATGACGGGTAGCGTTTGATCTTGGCCCAAGAACACATACTTCAAGTGACTAGGTAATGGCTTTAACTCAAGTGTAGGTGGCTGCACAGTTGATGGAAGTAACTTGTTAGTCAAAACCGAATCTAAAAGTGAGATTGGAGACTTACCAGAGTGGGAGGGCAATGACTCGAGGGCAGCGACCATTTCAAGTACTTCCTCACAAGGGGGCACGGCAATATGGTCAGATTGCATGCCGTGGGTTGCCAAGACTCCCTCACACTTATTTCTTGTTCCTATGCCGTTGACTAAGGCTACCTCAAGTGCATCTTCGTTCATTCTATCCAAATGCACCTGTGCCAAAGAATCAACAATGTCAATAGCAAAACAAGAATGGTCCTCAATTGGATGTTTAATGGTTTCAGAAAGATTAAAATGAATAATGTCCCCATCAAACTCCATGGTCAATGTTCCTGTATACACATCAATCTTTGTTCTTGCTGTTTTCATGAAGGGACGGCCTAGCAAGATTGGCAATGATGGAGCATGGCTTGAATCCTCCATGTCTAAAACATAGAAATCTGCGGGGAAAATAAGGTGATTGACCTGCACTAAAACATCCTCAAGGACTCCCTTGGGATAAGCGTTAGAACGATCGGCCAATTGAATTATAACGCCATCTTGTTTTAACTCACCAAGGTTCATTGATGCATAAATGGAATATGGCATTACATTGATGGATGCACCTAAATCTAACATGCATTGTTCAAATCTAGTGTTTCCAATTATGCATGGGATAGTAAAACTCCCTGGATCCTTACACTTTGGAGGTAACTTGCGTTGCAAGACCGCGGACACATTTTCACTTACTTTCACAACTTCTTTGTTTGAAATTCTTTTCCTAGTTGTGCATAACTCTTTTAAAAACTTTGCATACCTGGGTACTTGCTTAATAGCATCAAGTAAAGGAATGTTTACTTGAACTTTGCGAAAGGTCTCCAAAATGTCCTTTTCGCCTTCTTCCTTCTTTGATTGTGCAAATCTGTGAGGAAAAGGAACATTGGGCAGATTAGTGTTTGAAATCACAACATTTGAAACAACATTACTTGAGGTGGACGGTTTGGAAGGTGTAGATTACTGCGGCATGGTTGGTGCCATCTTTGCCGTGGGGTGGGATTGCTCCTCTTCTTCCAATTGTAACTTCTCATCTTCCTTGTTTGGGGCAGATGCATGTGCTTTGCTTCCCTCTTCTTTTCCACTTCGTAAAATGATGGCTTTTGCAGATTCAAAACCACCCTTTGGATTGATCTCCGTAGTGCTTGGTAACTTACCACTCTCACGAAATTGTCCCAAAAATTCGGCCATTTGGCCCATTTGCTTCTTGAGCTCATTCACCTCCTTTGCTTGATTCTGCATTCCCTGCACCATTGTGGTTAATAATTGATACGTTTTATCATCATTCATGGACATACCTGAGTTGGTTTGGGATGATTGTGCTTGAGGAGGTGGTTGTGGTGCCATTGGCCTCGGGAAGAAACCCGGGGGTTGTCGGAATCCACTTTATTGGGCAGGTTGTTGTGCATCCCTCCATCTGAAATTGGGGTGGTCACGCCATCCCGGATTGTATGTGTTAGAGAAAGGATCACTCCTTGGTTGGTTTGGATTCCCATAACCCACGGCGTGGGCAGATTCCCACCCTCCATTTTCAATTAATTGAGGGCATTGATCAGATTGGTGTCCTTGAATGGAACATACACCACACATTGTAGTTCCTTGCGGTTTGGGGCCTTCAACAAACTGTGACAACATGGACGTAAGGTTAGCCATTTGGGATTGTAACTCAGAAATAGAACTTACCTCATTGACATGATGTGGCCGTGGGGCATCTCTTTGCCCAACTCCTTCATATTGTTGTGCGTTGAGTGCGCGATTAGCAATGAGCATTTTGGCATCCATGGGTGTCTTATCCACTAGAGCTCCTCCCGCGGATGCATCCAACATTTGACGTTCAATTGGTAAGAGCCCTTCGTAGAAATATTGAAGAAGAAGCTCCTCCTTCAATTGGTGCTGTGGACATGAAGCAACAAGGGTTTTAAAACGTTCATAATAAGTTAGGAAAGATTCACCTTGGTTTTGCTGAATTCCACTAATCTTCTTGCGAAGAAGAATGATTCGTGATGTTGGAAAGAACTTCTCTAAGAAAGCTCGCTTCATACTTTCCCATGATGTGACAGTGCCAGGAGCCAACTCGTACAACCAATCCTTGGCCTTTTCCAACAAAGAAAAAGGAAAAGCCTTCATCTTCAATATGTTGCTATCCACGTTCACCGGTGTCATACTTGAGCATACGACTTCAAACTCCTTCAAATGCTTATTAGGGTCCTCCATTGATAACCCATGGAACTTGGGTATATGATGTAGCAAACTGGACTTCAATTCAAATTCATCGGTCTTCTCAGGGGCTGCCCTAGGGTATTGGATGCAAAGAGGGGCTGCATTGTCCAAACCCGAGGCGGAAAGCTCCTTGATGGTTCGGTTGTCTACTGCCATGGTTGGTACTTCTTCTTCACACCTTGCTGTGGGCTCTTCTTTAACCTCCACTTCTTGCTCTTCGATTTCAGGTTTGGAACTAGAAGGATTAGATGCTTGTAGTTTCCTTTCTCTCCTCAAAGTCCTCTCAAAATCGTCGTTAAAGTCGAAGATATTCTCACGAACAGGTTGTGAGCTACGAGTCATAAACTAGTACCTGCACACAAGAGCAAACAAGATAAGTAACACACTTAAAAGACTCGGCACAAGTAAGAAAACAATAGGCCTATACACGGCACAAAAACAAACACACACACACGGTGCAAAAATATAAAACAAAACAGAAACTAAACAAATTAAACAAGACTCAAGACAAGGGATTAGCAACTTTGCTAATCCCCGGCAACGGCGCCAAAATTTGATGCGAGATTTACTTGACACTCAAATTAAACCCTCGTTTGACAATTGTAGTAGAATGGATAAGTGAGGGATCGTTCTAGACCGGGGATTAGGAGGGCTTGCTAAAACCTTCTAAATTGACTTAAGAACGTAAAAACAATATAAAACACTAAACTAGACTCAAAGAATGCAAAACTAAAATTTATAACATTAAGACAAACCAAAAGACTCAAAACTAATTTTGGACGAATTTAAGATTATGGCTTGATTCAAAATACTTTAAAACATAAACTAAACAGATTCTAAGCACTAAAGAACAAGAAAGTAAAAGGGGGGGGAAAAGTTTTGATTTGATGAAAATTGAAATAACAAAACAAGTTAATAAACTAAGCGGAATGTAAATATGAATTTGTGATGGAATGAATGGAATGAAGGCTAGCTAAGGGGTTCTTCTCCACATATGTTATACTTGCATACAAGATTGATTCTCAGTTGGTCTTTCAATAAATTATGAAACTCAACACTCCAGATTAATTAGGTCCGCTTAAATTAACCGTCAAGTTTTCCTTAAGTTAATGAATTGGATGGGTTTGCGCAACGCAATTCACAACATTCTCCAAAAGTCCTTTACGTGAACAGCACAATAAAGATACAATCAAAGATCATTAAGCATTATGAAAACTATAAGTGTTGACGAGGCATTCGTTACTATGATGAGCATGAAACTCGTGCCAAGAATTCATTTAACGCGATTGTTTATAAGCAACCTCCACTACTTGTGAATATAAGTTCATAACGATTAGGTGAAATTCACTTATATTCTAGCGTCATATTTATGCATGAAAATTAAGCGCGCATTCTTAATAAACATTCATAAATAAGTTATCAATCAAACGGTTAAACAAATTGAATCCACAACTTATGAAATTCCAACGAAAGTTAATCAATTCATATTGCAAATATAAACATAGTTTCGAATCACCCCCTAGCTAAAGGGGGTTTAGTTCCTCATACCTTTGAAATCAAAGAAACACCTAAACATTCCAACAACTCAAAACTTGAATTGTATGAACGTTTAAGCACTCTTCTCTTCCATTCCTTATACGTACAAAACAAAGAGAATTAAAATGAAACTTTGAAATCAAAGAAACACCTAAACATTCCAACAACTCAAACTTGAATTGTATGAACGTTTAGGCACTCTTCTCTTCCTCGTTGTTGTAGCACAAGGTTTAAGGATAGGTTGGTTGGGGGGATGGAAGTGTGGAATGGAGTGGAAATGGAGAAGATGGAGAAGATGGAGAAGGGGAAGTGTTTGTGTATTACAATGGAAAATGAGATGCCTTGGTGAATGGAATGAATGGGTATTTATAGGAGGATTAGAGATGTGAATGGATGATTGTTTAAGGTATTTGGTGGAAGGGAAAAGGTGTGGATGGTAATGGAATGGTGGATGGACGGTTTAGTGGATGTAATTTAGGGTTTATTTAGGTGAATGTGGATGCATGGTTTAGTGGATGTAAAGGATAATGGGATGGTGTGGAATTAAAAGCTAAAAAAATGGGATAATGGGCATTTAAGTGTGAATGGAATGGTGGGGGGGGACGGCAATAATGGGAATTATGGAATGGAATGGTGGAATGCACGGATTAGGAGGAAGAATTAGGGTGAAGGGCTTAATGCATGGATTTGGGCCTAAAATGCCCCCCCCTTGCATGGCAAGGGAAAGGACTTGGGCTAAAGCCCACGGCAATGGCTCTAAAATGGGCTAAGGTTAGGGTTTAGGTCATCTAAAAGCCCAAAGCCAAGAATAGAAACTCACGACAATGGAAACCTCCAAGAATAGAAACTTCCAACTTTAGAAACTTTGGTTACCAATTCCGACTTCCTTGCTCTTCACTTTCATTTCTTCATTTCTTAAGCTCCTTTGACCTTCAACCTCGTCCATTCCTCGTGCTCCATTTGCATACACCACATTCCAGCTCAGTTTTGCTCCAAAAGCTCCCAATTGCATCATTTCATGTAATATGTCCTTTAAACCTGAAAACACATGAAAGTAGCTTAAAAGACTACTTTAACGAATAAAACATAACAAAAATGCATAAGAACTAGCTAACTAAGGCGCATAAATATGCTCCTATCAACCGGGCTCCCTTGCATAGGTTCCACTGTGAGTGCAAGGACGTGAAGAGCATTTCCACCAACCGGTTGGTACAAGATAGGGATAAGGGTTCTAGGAGCATCTTCAATGAGGGGCTTTATATGGGGTTGGAAAAATGGTGAGTATAGCTCATTTTACAACTCTAAGAAATATTTAAGGCTCTAAGGATGAATATCTCCCAATAAGGGGCTATATACATTTCGAACTCTATATGGGGCTATATATTTATTTATGGTTTAGTTTGATTACACGTTAATGTTTTTTTGTGTTAACTTTTCTTCAGATTATTTTAGATGTGTTATGTTAAAAAAAATTTCGAGCTTTTCAACCTAAAAGAATTCAAAATCGGACAAAGTTAAATTTTATCACTTATCAAATTTAGATTTTATCCCTTATCAAACGATGAACTATGTCTTAAGCATTAAAAGACATCAACAATATCAATATTTGAAGCTGCATTGTTTGGTGTGGGTCCGAGGAGAGAAAAGTTCACAATTTTTTTTTTTTTTTCTTTTGGAACAAAGAAGTTCCCAATTCTAAACTAACAAAAAAAAACAAAACAAAAACAAAACAAAACAAAAAAACAAAACAAAAAAAACAAAACAAAAAAACATACTGGTCCCTTAATTTGGTGAGGGTCCCACTGTTTGTTGGGGGCTGGATGCAGTCAATCTTCGCTACCCAATGAATGAAGCTGTCAGCTCAAGTGCTGGATATAACCCAATTTTCCAGCCATTAGAAATAAAACTTCTTACTCGGACTCCAGATGTAATAGCCTTTAGGAGGATAAAGTCCCTTATTACAAATGCTCTAAACTTGACCTCCAACCCAAAAAGCCACCTCCAACAGTCCAAGAATAAGAGGGCAAGTGGTAGGCCTTGTGAGGTCCGCCCAAAAGCCCGAAAAAGTTATGCCCAACCTTGTGCCACGGGCAAGACTGATGTCAGCATGACATTAATCATTGTTTCAAATTTTTTGTGTCTAGCACATGCATTGCACGTGCGAAAAAGAGAGTGAACCAATAAGAGCTGTAGTGGTGGGCCTTGCTGTAGTAGCTACAATAGAGCATCCCAATGGCTCTGAATTCTACCGGTCTGATGATTTGGATCGTTGGATTTCCAATGGTAAAAACACTCGAAAAAATTATTGGGTAGACACATGGAACGTTCTTGTGTGTTTGATTTTAGATGAGTTTGGAAATCAACGACTATAATTAATCCAATGTCTTATTGTTCTAAAAATACCAAACCAAATTCTTCATTCCCCACACCACAACTCAATATTTAGTTTTACTATAATCTCCTATATTTGTTTTGCACTTTTCAAAGTCCTTTTTTTTTTTTTTTTTTAACCAAAATAAAAATGAGTGAGAGGGCAAAAAATGGGTTTTTTATTTTAAAATTATTAGAGTTAAACAAGGAGTTTTATTTTGGAAGAACAAACTTACTTAAACAAACTTACAAAGCATAAAAAATAAGAAAATATTTTATGAATAGTAATCGCTATTGTCCTTTTGACCTTACCCTTACCCAATAAATGAAGTGCACAAAGGCAAGTACTAGAATTCAGATTAAACAATAATAACAAGTTAACTGCTTTGCCGTTCCCCTTGTCTTTACTCTCCCTAAACTGGTGGAACTGTTCTAATAAAGGAGAGGGCAGTGGTGAAGGGTACTACCTTTACCTGATCATCGATCCTTTAATTTGAGATCCCACACACCTAACCTAACCTAACCTAACCCCACATACTTGCAATCCTCGATCCATGTTTGCATGGGCAATAGCGCGCGGGTGATTTCTTGGTGTTTCTGAACCACAAAAGGACAGAATGGGGCATGTAGCAGTACGTACTCTGCTACAAATCAAAAGGGATGGGGGTACTGTTTAGAGAGAGAGAGAGAGTGTGAACTAGCACTGGGGTTATGCCCTTCTTTTATGAATCAGTCGTCTCCTCCGACACTACTCTGACTCAACTCGGAAAAAGACAAAGGGCACCGCTTGGATTGATTATCAATCCTCTTGGACCATAGCCTGTGTGCCCTGCACAATATATGAGGTGTTATTTCTTCCAACTAGATACTAATTTTTTATATACTTGGAATTGAACACGTATAGCAATAGGCTGGTTTAAATTTTATAAAGTTTTTGTATGTATATATGTCTATATGTGCATCTTCGCATCTATATATATATATATATATATATATATATATATATATCTTCCGTACGACTCGCTCTTTTATCGAGTACAAAGCCTTTATGTGGGTAAATTTTGAGTACTCGCAACTATTAACCACACTTTCAAAACAATGACATGCATTAAGTTATACACGGAGGACAAGAC